CCCCAAAACCCCAAAACCCCAAAACCCCTTGAAATAAAATTTGAATAGTGGGTAATAAATGCATCATTAATTTAATTAAATTATTTGAAGTGAACTTTTCTCATAATAAACCTTTTTCTCTCAAAATTTTACTGATTTAAAAGGAATTTACTGGTTTATTGATAAAAAGATCCATTCCACACTCTATGCTTTTCTCCTTGAAGTTTTCAGTTGTGTAGGCAGTTAAGGCAACTATATATATTTGATTGTTATTAGTAGTATCTAGCTTTTTTATCTCCTAAGAGGCTTTAAACCCATCCATAATAGGCATATTGCAGTCCATAAATATAATCTTATAATTTCTCTTGTCATTTTAACACTAACATGAAACGTTATTGCTTTAATCGTAACGGCTATGGACTAATTCAAGTGCCTCTTAGCCATGCATAGCTTTATCTGAACGAATATTATACTAAAACTCTAAAATAGTCTACAAAGTGACAATGTTGAATATATTATCATCAACAACAAGAACATCCAGCAGGCTCTAACAGTTGCATCCACCTACTTTCAATTAAGAACTCTTTTTCTTCTCTAGTAGAGCTGGTTCCTTTTCTTTTTTCCTCGCAAGGGTCTGTCCTTGAATTTTTTAAATTTCTGAGAATATGAAATTGCTGTCTGTGTTGTAATCATTACTAATATTGGCATTGGCTTCCTCAAAATTAGGCTAGCCACTGTCAGAATCATCATTTAAAGTAATGACTATTTATCCAGGATCATCAATTAACTATTGCTTCTCCTCCTCTTCAAGTGGAAATATCATATTCGATCTCTATGACTCTAAAGGACTTTAAAACTATACTTTACCATAGTTTGTAATACACTTAATCGAAAATGCAAAAGTACTTCCTATTCCATCTACATTGTCCTCAACAGATATATTTCCACCAAATAGTTCTACTATTTTCTTGCATATATTTAAACCAAGGCCAATTCCCGAAGTATTAATCTAAGCTGTTGCTTCCAATTTTCCAAATAAAGTAAATAGCTTTTTTTTATCCTCGCTCTTGATACCACATCCTTAGTCCTTAACTTAAAATTTTAGAGTATCTGAGTGATCTTAATAATCAACATGAACCCTTATAATACCTTTTGGAGTGAATTTAAGTGCATTTTAAAGAAGGTTCAGTAAAACCTAGTTAATTCTTTAGGAATCAGTTATCAATTCATCGGGAACTCTGTCACTGCATTTAAATTCTAAATTCAAGCCCTTTTCAGAAATAGCCAATCTTACAACATCTAGTGCATTTTATACAGCATTCCTTATGTTCACTAATTACTCATTTTTCCTAAATTTTCCGTTTTTAATTTGAGTAAAGTCAAGCAAATCATTAACCAAAAACAGTAGCATCTAGCTTGAGTTCTCAACTATTTAGAGTAGTTTCAAGCCTCTTTCATCTTATACTTGAGTTCTTATATTACCAACTAGATTTAGGATCGAATTTAAAGGTGTCCTCATGTCATGAGAAACAGTTGCTGTTAGCATCTCATAAAAATGATTTTCAAGTTTTAGCTTTTCATACTTCATTAGAGGAGTGAGACATTTAATCATTATCATTCTAAGCATTTTATCCTGATAAAATATCTTGTTTTCCCTGATTGTTATCATTTCTTTTTGATTTTCTATTGAGTCATTTGTTTCAGCGCTCTCTGGCTGACCTCCTTGAATATCATCATCTAAGTCGTCAACAAGGAAGCACTATCCATCCTGAAAATTTACTGGGGCTTTCACTAGACTGTACTTAATATTTAATTATGATTCATTTAAAGTATTGTTCTATTCCTATTAATTAAGTAGATTCACTGGTCTCAATATTTCTTTTGAAACTTTAGATATTAATGGTTTCATATCATCATTTAAGCTATTGCATTTTAGAATTCTCTTTAATTCCTAATTAGCCATTATAATACTTTTTGAATCGTCACTATATAGTATGATTCCCTCTGGAAAATTTAGAAGAATGTTCTACAAATCGTCGTTCATTTTTCTTATTTAGGCAATTTGAATTAGTTAAGTCTTTAATCCCAGTTCAGTAGCGTACGAAGCGTAACATAGCAATCCAAGATTTACAACGAATTGTATCATCACAGTATAGTCATTAATTTCTAAATCGATAGCATAATATGAAACTTTCCCCACAGTGGTAGCTATCATGGCTGGACAGGTCAATATCCATCTTGAATTCGTTAACAATCCGGCTGTCAAGAAAAAGCAAAGTCCAATGATATTACCAGCTAATTATATTTTTGAAGTTGGATTTGTTGACACATGAAGAAGACTTGAAAGGTTAAGAAGTAATAAGATTGGTGAATGTAAGTCCGTAAAGTATTTTGGAAATTTAAACGTGAGTAATAGTATTATTAAGTGGGCAGAATGGGTAGCAGTTCTCTATATCCAAGTTGAAAATTAGAACTACGTTGCAGTAGAAGTAAGAGCCATCGATATTGTAGCAAGGAAAATCGTAAGTCTAAATAAGAAGAATATTCCACTAATAATAAGTATTTCCTTATTCCTCTTCATTGTATAGTCATGCTTAATTTAAGGGTCATTTATTTGTAGGAAAAATTATGAGTTCATTTCTAGGATCTCTAAATAATATATATTTAAGTGAATCAGATCTACTTTTAACAATTTACTTTTTACTTTAGCTCCATGGGGTTTTGGGGTTTTGGGGTTTTGGGG